ACACACACACACACACACACACACACACACACACACACACACACACAGACAGAGACAGAGAGACAGAGAGAGACAGAGAGAGACCACCCGGAATAGGGCCTGGGCCACGTGTGACCGAAACATCTCCCCTATCCTCGGATCACTTCCCTCCCTCGAGATAAAGTAAAAAAGGGAAAGCATGCCCCCTTGGGCAGCTAGAGCTGGGGTCCACGATGGGGCAGGCTGGGGGTCCCCTCCTTTAACCTTTCCAGCTCCCTCTTTCAAGGCTGCAGCGGGTTCACCCGGCTTGAGGTCTAGAGCACATCTCCAAGGCCGACCCTTGTCCTCATCCCCATCCCGCCCGTGTTTCAGGGACCACTTCTTCCTTACCTTGCTCTGGGACCCTCGATGCTTTGGGGCATGCACTGGGAGCCCCCTAGTTCGCTTCTAATCTCTGCCTTGAAAGCTTGGAATTCAAAGAAACAAATTGGGGTGGGGGAGGTGGGGGGGTGGAGAAAGGGGGAGGAGGAGATATTTGCTGAACTTTTGTGGGACGCCACGCCTCTTGCTCCCAAGACCAATCGCCTCTCACACTGAGGGAGCAACCTTCCTCCTCCACCAATTGGAGGCACTGGCAGGTGTTATGTCATGCCCTCTTGGTTTCTGGATCTGTGACCTGCGGGCTTTGCTCTCAGGGTCGGGTTTCTTAGAGCACACAGTTCTTATTGACCACATTTGTTACAGTCCTTGGCACAGTGGAACGGACTCTGGAAATGACGTGAATAGAAATGAACTCGAAAACCCAGTTCTCAGTAACGGAGAAAATGTGCATATAGGCATCAATTTTACTCTTCACCATCAACCCCAAATGTTTGTTCAATGCCCATTACCTTCAATATAACTGAGGGCGTTGCGGGGAGGGAAGATCCCTAGTGTTTAGAGAGGCAAGACGCTGTAGGGGTAAGGGCCCTAACCTAGGGTTGTTCATATGTTAATTGTATGACTGAGAAAGTTATAACAGAACTGGAACTCACCTTAAAATGGAAATGCCATTGAATCTTCATTTTAAGATCTCTTCTAGATCTGTGATTCTATCCATATGACCAGGGGAAAATGAATTGCATGAAGAACACCAACTCACATCCCAGGTATCCTCTATGGTCGTTTGTGACTAGACAAAGAACTTTGAATAACATCGGACCAGAAACTGAAATTTGATAGGACATAGAAACTAAATCAGTTTTTATACTATCTACAATGAAAAATGCAGTCAGTCAACAAGCATTTATAAAATGATTTGGGTGATACAAAAGAGCACTGTGGTTACAAAAACAGATGAGAACATGGTGCCTGTCCTAGAGAAGCTCACTTTCTAGTGAAGGAGACACCATGCAAACTACTTACTTATAAAATATACACAGTGTAAATAGGAGGTAATGTCTGGGAAAAGGTAATTATAGTGGGGAGAGACCAGGAAAAGATGGGATTTGAGTTGTCTTCAAGAAAGTCACACCTTGAGCTATTACCTCCAGTATAGTAAGGACTCCTCTAAGCTGTCTCTCTTCCTGAATACTCTTCTGAGTTCCAGATCAGCATTTCCCTTTGCAGGATAGACATCTATGTCCCTGTGAATGTTACACTTTTACCTCAAACTCAACATATTAATAATCAAAATCAATCATTATCTTTTCCTAAAAACACGCTCTTCTTTATGCTTTCCATATTGCAATGAAAGCCCTTCAAGTCACCTAGGCTTGACACCTGAGTCATCTTTCACTCTTACCACCTTTAATTCAGGAGTAATCTTAATCCATTCAGGTTTGGAACTGCCACCCCAGAACTAAACAGTTCTTATTGGTGAGTTAGAAGTGCAAACTTATGTGGCCCTACTATTTCTAGCCTGCTCTTGAACATGCTTTACATCACATTCAGCCATGACCATGGTCATCTTCTCACCATCTGCCTTACTACCCAACATCACCTCTCCCCATCTCTTTTCCGATGCCCCAGTTGCATGTGATTTCCTTATCCTCAAATCTTTTAGAAAACTGTTGTGTCTCCTCTGCACTCACTGAGCTTCTATTTTTTTTTAAATTTGGTTTACTTGTATTCATGTTTTGCCTCCCCTACTAGATTGCAAGCTCCTTGAAGTCAGGAATGTAGTCTTATTTATCTTTGTATATCCTTCGGCATCTAGCACAATTCCTTGCACAGAAAAGATGGAATTTGGAGTCAGAAGACCTATGTTCCATTATCTTTGATGGAGAACATTGTTTGCTTCAATAATTTTTTTACAAATCTTTTCTATTTTTGTTCTGTTCATAATCTCTCTGTTGCCAATCTTTATTACCTTTGGGATGCCTCTGCTTAGTTGGATATCTTGCTTAGCTTTTTCAGATTGGTTTTACTTCCATTGTTTCTCTCTGCTTTGTGAGATGATACTACTCATAATCTCTCCCATCATCCTTTTTGCAAGATTTTACAAAAGAGTTTATATTCTAACCTGGTATTACCTTTGGCAACCACATGTCTTTGGCAAGTAAACCAAATGTTTGCTGACTGAGGTTCCTTCTGGGTTCCTTTGATCTTCTCCTTGTAATTTTACATTGGCTTAACTTCTGGATGAAATTATTATTGTCGTTGTTGATGTAATTTCTGTTGGCCATTTCATGTTTTTTGATTTTCAATAGTTTGTGTAAATAATTCAGGTTAAAACTTAATTATATACTATATATTTTCCTCATTACTATTCTTTCTTCTTGTTTATTATAAATTCAATCTTAGCTCTCACAAGCCAGTGGTCTTGTGCACAGACAGCTGGCTCAGGGATAATTTCCACATCCAAAATAAGACATTCTCTGTCTGCTAAAATGTAGTCCATTTCATTCTTTGTGAGATTGTTTGGTATTTGCAATATCCAGCATCTACCAAATCTTTTCTGAAAAAAGTTATCATAATACAGAAGCATGAGGCTTCTACAAATATAAATAAAATCTAAATAAACTACAAATCTTTGGCCATTCTCATTTCTTTCTCTTGAACCAAAATTCCAAAATATTTCTCCACATTCTCATCTTTGTCAAATATCAGAGTATATGTTGATTTGAATGAGAAGGTCTTATCAAGTAACAAAGTTACTAAGTAATGGATTATATGCTGATTTAATTTGGAGGGTTTTCTCAAGTTCTTCATACAATTTCTCTACCTCTTCATCCTTTGTCATTGCTGTTGGCACGTAAGCAACAGTTATTTTCATGGTGGTCTTTTCGCAAATACAGAGCCAGGAAAATAACATACATAATGAATACAACAATGTAAATAGGAAAGATGTGAAAACAAAAGTGAATGTTGTGTAATTATAATGACCGATTTGACCTTAGAGAAGAGTTGAAACTTCATCTCCCTCCCTTCTTTGCAGAGATAGGGACTATGAGTGTGGAACATTGAATTGAGTCAGACTCAATTGACCAATTGACCAATTGATGTATTAGTTAATTTTGCTGAATTGTTTTTTTTTCTTTCTCTCTTTTTTTTTTATTCATTGTTAAAAGGGATGGGTCCCTGGGAAGGAGTAGTTTCATTTAAAAGTGAAACAAAAATGAATCAGTAAACTTTTAATTAAAAATAAATGAAATTATAAAAGAACAATGTTATAAGTTCCACATGTATATAGTAATTTCTTCCATTGCCAGTGCAAGGCAGAGTTGAGAGATGGAGGTGCTGTGCATGAGAAAAAGCAAGGCCAGTGGATGGAGAGAAAGAGGGATAATATACAGTAAAGCCATATAATGTATTATAAAGAGTATTATTATATAATAGTGAACACTGGTGATGGACCTGCTACTTGTTCTAACCATTCTGGAAAGTAATTTGGAATTATACATACAGTTACTAAACAGTTCATGTCCTTTGACCTAGGTATACTACACAAAAGAAATCAAAGTAAGAGGAAAGGACCCTTTATGTACAAAGAATATTTATGGTAGTTCTTTCTGTGATGGCAAAAAACTGGAAACTAAGGGGATGCCCATCAATTGAGGAATGGCTGAATAAGATGTGTTATATGATTTTTTTTTTAATAGAGAGGTGTGTGTGGGGAGGGTGAATGTTGAGAAAGGTTATATGCGCTTTCACGTGAGGTCACCATGCTGTTAATTTTACTTCTAACTGTTTTATTTTTGTTACAAGAGTCTTCTTGGGGCAGCTAGGTGGCACAGTGAATTGAGCACCGGCCCTGGAGTCAAGAGGACTTGAGTTCAAATCCAGCCTCAGACACATAGCACTCACCAGCTGTGTGACTCTGGGCAAATCACTTAACCCCAATTGCCTCACCAAAAAAAAAAAAAAAAAGGGAATTAACAACACATAAAAACACAATAAAACGTAGATAACTTTACATTAAAAAAGAGACCTCTCAAAGTGAGAGTAATGTGTAAATGTAATTAATGTAAAAATAAAACATGTAAGTAACGCTTTTTTAAAAATAGCACATGGAAAGGGAAGTGATATGGCTCAAAAACGTGGTTAAAATCAAGTTGTGAATGACTTTAAAAGCTGAAAAAAAGGAGTTTATATTTTGTCCTTAAAGCTATAAAGAGCTACTGGAGTTTATTGAATAGGGGAGATGACATGATCAAATCTTCACTAAAGAAGAGGTCTCATTACTTTACAGTCACAGTGTATATTCACATCCCATATAATATATTTATTAAAATTATGTGATATTTTCAAATCAAATTACTTTTAAGACATCTTTTGAGATAATTGAATATCCCTGGTGTGTTACAAAGCCAGTACTAGAAATCACTGTTTTATGTATTTCTTTCCAATATATAAAATATTTAACTCTATTAGTTGGCACACCAACTCAAACTGTTAATGCTTTACCATATGTGAATCTGATTGTGTGAAATACAAAACTGTTTATATCCCAAAAAGGAGTAACGCTCATGTTCCTAAGATATTGTTTCTCTCTCTGTCTCTGTCTGTCTGTCTGTCTCTCTCTTTCTCTCTCTCCTCCCTCCACTAATACAGATCTATCATTTCTGTAACTACAGTCTTAGAGAATGTCCTGAGACACTGAGAAATTAAGTAATTTGTCCAATTGGGCTCCACAGCTAGTTAGAACAATGGGTGAAGTGCTGGATCTGAACTCTAGAAGACCTGAGTTCAAATCTTGTCTCAGACCCATTTACCAGCTGTGTGATCATGGACAAACCATTTAACTTTCATCTGCCTCGGTTCTCTCCTCTGTAAAATGAATATAATAATAGTGCCTAATTCCCAGGGTAAGAATAAAATCAGATATTATTTGTCAATAGCTTTGTAAACCTTCATGATCTATATAAATGCTAGCTAACTATATGTCAAAGGTAAGACTTGAACCCAGGCTTTTTCTGACTCTAATGGCCTGCTACATATGTAGAATGGAAAAAAAGAGTAATTGAGGTTGCTTTCCTATTTAAGTAATGATTCCAA